GAGGAGGAGGAGGAGACGATGACGGCGACGACGGCGCCGGCGACGAGCGCGCCAGCACCGCGCCCGCCGCTCGAGAGTCTTTTTGTTCAGTGCCCAGTAGGGGTGACACGCATGCTCCGCGCACCGTAGGAGGGGCTGGGGCGTGGACGACCGGAGGCTGCAGCGGGGGCTGTCGCCACGCGGCAGGGTCCGCTTCGATCCGATCCATCCGATTCGAGCTCAAGTCTGGCCAGCCCGATCCGATTCGACTCCGATGGTCCGACGTTCCGATGCGACCCGATGCTTGCATGGCGGTGTTGTGCATCCTGGCGCAGCCGATCCAGTTCAATTTCGATACAATCCGATTTGCCAATTCGATGCTGGCTGATCCTGCGCGGGGTGGGCGGGAGGGGATGCGGCGGCGGGTCCGGCCCTCCCTGCCTCCCTCCCTCCCGCTCTCCCCCGTGATCTGACTCCGCGGCCCCCGCACACGACCCGTTTCAGGTCTGGTGTCCACGGGGGCCCTCCCCTCCCCCCCCCGCTCCTTCTCACCCCCTACCTCCTCCCTCACCCTACCCTCCTCCTCCCCCGCCCTCATCATCCTCCTACCTCCTCCCCTTACCTCACCATTTTTTTTTTTTCTCCCCCCTCCTTTCCTCCATGACTTCGTCCTCCTCCATCCTCCTCTCATCTCATCCTCTCCTTACTCCTCCTCCTCCATCTCCATCCCCCTCATCCTTCTCATCCTCTACTCCTCCCTCCTGTCCTCCTCCTCCTCCTCCTCCTCCTCTCCCTACTCTTCTCCCTGCTCCGCCCAAGAGGACCCCATCGGGGGCCCCGAGGTGGCGCAGCATGCTGGGGACACCCTGGGCCAGGGAAGGGCCTGGGCCTTCCTTCGAAGAGTGCAGCGCTGCAAAAACACAAACGTTACGTCTGGCGTGTTCCCCTCCTACATGCGATTTTTCGACCAATTGTTAAGACATGTTCAAACAATACCCCCAACATGCTTGAAAAAAACGTCCCCTGTTTTTTTCTTTTTACTATTTTTGAGTATTCCCCCTGTAGAGGGACAGGCCCGACTTAACACACACGTCTTCAGAGGAGGAGGACCTGCGCCACACGAGCCGGTCGGCGCTTCGGGTTGGCTGGGGGGCCGAGGCGGCCCAGCGTTGGTTTTAAGTCGGGCCTGTCCCTCTACAGGGGGAGTGCCCAGAAGTATTTTTGAACATGTGTGTGACTATTCTCGATGTTTCTTCGAAAGTCGGCCTTTAGGGGGACAGGCCCGACCCTAACGCTGGTTCCGGCTGGCAGGAGGGAGGGAGGAGCGGGCCCCTTCGTCGCCACTGCGGGACGCGGCTCGAAGAGCTGGTCGGTTTCGACCTCGGGAGGAGTCCAGGGGGCACGGTTCAAGCAGTGGCGAAGCGTCTTGGCGTGCCTAAAGCCCTACCGGACAATGTCCTAAGAACCGTTTGTGGTTTCCACGACATGTTCTTAGAACGCGTTTGGCGGAGTCTGTCTTGTTTTACCACATCGGGTATATGTTCCAAGAACATTGTTTTTGATCTTAGAACATTTCTGGGTTCTAATAACATTTCGTGTTAGGACTACAGGAATGTCGGGACGGTCGGTCCCTGCTCAAACGGTGGTTCGTGTCGCGTCGACCAGCGGCGACCCCGCCAGCGGCGTTCAACGTTGACCGCCGCGGGCGACCCAGGATCGTTCGATGTGCAACGATTTGGGCGTGTCGGAAAGGGCCGATCTCGTTCAAGGTTGAGCGATCCCCGTGGTGTCAGAAACCAGCGCCGAAGTCGGCACGACACGATCTTGATGTAGATTTTGAGCGGACCTGCTTTCGTGCTTCTCCTGGCCGAGGCCCATCCAGCGCAGACCCAGCGCCGTATCACCAGGGCGGCACCCGCGCTGGTGAGGGCGCTGCAGCGCGGATCTGGGAAATCAGCGGCTACCTCCGAAAGTCAGGAGGGGGAAAACACACATACACAATCAATCGTCGATCCCCAGGAAACTGTGCGAAAATATGGGCAGTGGGGGGAAGACAGAAACCCAGAACATATGGGAAAATATGGGGAATCCTGTTAGTTGTGTGCATTTATTTGTGTGTCCCACGGCCCCTTCAGAAAGGCTATGTTACATAGCCTCTCGGAGGTTCAGGGCGCGAGCGCAGCACGTGGCCCGGCCATTCGGACGCGCCGCCGCGGTTGTCGCGCAACAGGGCAGCAGCACTTTACTGAAAGGCTTGTTTCCTTTCATCAACTAGTTCCCTCAAAGTAAGAGTGTGAATGTCCCGATTCCAAATGTACATTTTGTCCTTTTATTCCCAGGGGGAACGTCAGGAGGGGCAGGGGGGGATGCCACGATCACCAATCGCTCTTTGATCTCCGAGAGGCCCGATATGCCACCCTGCCCAGGAAGGTGCGGGTTCGCCATCGGGGGCGTATTGCCGATGTGTAGGCGATGCATCGCCGACTCCAGGTCGATATTTCCCCCCCCAATCCAGTGCCCCCCTAACCTTCCCCCTTAGCCGGAGAGGTATTTCCAGCGCCGAGATGAGACAGTTGGGAGGACCTCCGCAAGTTTGTGAACTTGTTTCTTGTTCTATTCGTTCCCACCCTCTCGGTGGTCGCCTACGATACACCTACACTGGTCCTGGCCAGGCCGTTCATGGGCCCGGGATCGGTGCATATGCCTCCCCGCCCAAGACAGGAAGGCGTACACACAGTTCTTGGGCCCAGGAAGCCTGGCCACGGTCGGTGTAAGTGTGTAGTGGGTGCCCTCCTCCAAGACATGCGATGTCCTGTTCTTGTCTGATAAAAAAGGGTCCCTGGAAATCCCGACACCTTTCCCTGGGGCAGCTTTTTCATCGCGAGCCTCTCTTCGACGGCCCCGGGACCCAGCGAGGGCTCCCAGAGGCCAAACATAGGCCCAAACCCTCCGCCCGTGCTATCCAGAGCTGTAGTAGATTGCGGCGCCCCCGCCCCAAAAACTCGTCTCTCCCTCTCCCATTTTATACCTCTCTCCCCCTCTTACCTCCTCCTCCTCATACTCAGCCTCCTCTCCTCATCCTCCCTCCTATTCTCTCCTCCTCGTCTCCTCCTCCCCTATTCCTCAATTCCTACTCCTATCCTATTCCTTTCTCCTATTCCTCCTCCTCCTCCTCCTCCTCCTCCTCCTCCTCCTCCTCCTCCTCCTATTTCTCCTCCTCCTCCTCCTCCTCCTACTCCTCCTCCTCCCTTGCTCCCTTACCCCCTTACCCCCTGCCTCCTCCCCGGCCCCAGCTGCAGCCTCCGAGGGGCAGGGCGGGCCATGCGGGCGGGCGGCGCCGGACGCCCGTGGCCCGCGGTGGCGCCGCTGGGGGCGTGGCTGTGCGGGGTGTGCGGCGCGGTCTGGGGGGGGGGCGGGGCCTCCAGACACGGGGGCGGGGAGGAGGAGGAGGAGGAGGAAGGAGGGGAGCAGGAACAAGGAGGAGGAGAGGAGGAGGAGGGAGGAGGAGGAGGAGGAGGAGGAGGAGGAGGGGAGGAGGTGGAGGGGGAGGGGGAGGAGGACGAGTAGGAGGAGGAGGAGGAGGAGGAGGAGGAGCAGGCGGCAGGGAGGGGAGGAGGAGGAGGAGGAGGAGGAGGAGGAGGAGGAGGAGCAGGAGGAGCAGGAGGAGGGAGGAGGAGGAGGAGAGAGGAAGAGGAGGACCCCATCCACGATGCCTCTGTGAGATTGGGGCCTCCGAACACGGGCGAATCGGGGGGGAAATGAGGACCTGGCATCGCTCGGACGTGTGCATTTTTTTCTCGGCGAGGACCCCTGAGGACCACTCTGGACCATCGAGCAAAAAGAAAACACGCACGAGACTGAAACAATGCACGGGAAATGGACGTCCGTGCGACGGCAAGAGGAGCGCAGCTTCGCGCACCCGTCGGTCGGATCGAACAGGAGGCGGCAGGCGCGGCTCCCAAGAGCCGCGGCAGGACGTCAGAAGGCGATGTCCAGGGCATGGGATGCCCAGGGCGGCGATGGCGCAGCCGAGGACGAGGGGAGGCAGCGGGCCCTGCCCGCCTCTCCACTGCAGCCGGCAGACCGCAGCACTCCTCTCACCAGAGCCAGCCGCGAAGGGGCAGATTGTGGAGGAGGGGGGCGAGAGGAGGGAGCAAGGGAGTAAGGGAGGAGGAGGAGGAGGAGGGAGGAGGAGAGGAGGAGGAGGAGGAGGAGGAGGAGAGGAGGAGGAGGAGAGGGGGAGGGGAGGGGGGAGGGGGAGGGGGAGGGGAGAGATGATGGGAGGAGGATTGTGGAGGATGGGAGTAGCAGCGTGGAGCATGGGAGGAGAGGATCGTGGAGGGAAGATTCATGGATGTGGGCGGATTTGTCCTACCCCTCTCACCCATCCCATCCATGGAGCTGTTGTCTTCTCTATCCGCGGACGCGTGCCACAGCGGAGGAGGGCTGTTCGTGGAGGGGGGAGGGCGGGCGGGAACAATGTAAGGAGGGCCTGATGATGATGATGATGATGATGATGATGATGATGCTGATGATGATGATGATGATGATGATGATGATGATGAAGATGAAGATGAAGATGAAGATGATGGTGATGAAGAAATTGATAAGTATGATGATGATGAGGATGGTGATGCTGTTGGTGATGATGCTGGTGGCAGTCGTGATGACACTTATGATGCTGATGCTGCTGAGGATGACGATTACGATGGCGATGCTGTTGATGACGCCTGTGATGATGACGGTGATGCTGATGATGAGTACGACGATGACGATGATGGTGCGTATGATGATGCTGATGTTGATCTGGGTGCTGATGCTGATGACGCCGACGTCGATGATGGAGACTATGATGATGCGGATGATGATGATGATGATGATGATGATGATGATGATGATGATGATGATGATGATGATGATGATGATGATGATGAAAGCAGTGGCGATGCAGATGGCGGTCACGATGATGATGCTGATGATGATGGTGACGAGGATGCTGATGACGATTATGATGATGCTGATGATGGTGGCGATGATTATGATGATGACGATGCTGATGCTACTGATGATTATGATGATGAAGATGATGCCGATGGCGATGAAGAGAATGACGACTACGACGACAATGCTGATACTTATTATGACGACGCCGATGATGATGCTGACGATGGTGATGATGCTGGTGATGGTGAGTATGATGATGATGATGATGATGATGATGATGATGATGATGATGATGATGATGATGATGATGATGATGATGATGATGATGATGATGATGGCGATGATGAAAATAATGATGGTAATGCTAATGGTAATGATAATGACGAGGATGAGGATACAAGTTAGGATGCGGATCATTAAGACGACGATGATGCTGTTCTTGATGATGATGATGACGACGACGACGGCGATGCTGATGTTGCTGAGTCTGCTGATGTTCATGATGTTGCTTCTGATTAACCACGATTAGATCAGAATGCCATGTATAACGATGATGACGACGATGATGATGACGATGGTGAGCATCATCATGACGATGACGATGATGATGATACTGATGATGATTATGGTGGTGGTGATGATGATGGGGATGAGCATGATGTTGATGCTGACGATGGTGATGATGCTGCTGCTGATGATGAGGATCAGGATGAGGATGAGGATGAGTAGGAGGATGAGGAGGAGAAAGAGGAGGAGGAGGAGGAGGAGGAGGAGGAGGAGGATGTAGGGGGGAAAGGAGGAGGGGGAGAGGAAAAAGGCGGGGGTGATGGCAAGAGGAGGGAGCATGAAGGATGAGTGAGGGAGGGGAGAGGTGGAGGCGAACGGAGAACGGGGGGGAAAAGGAGGGGCGGGGAGGGGAGGAATGGCGAGGAGGGAGGAACGAGGGAGGAGACTGAAGCATGTCGATGGAGCAGATGAGGCCCGGCGGGGTGGCCGCTCGGCGCAGAATGCTCCTCTTCCTCCTCCTCCTCCTCCTCCTCCTCCTCCTCCTCCTCCTCCTTGCTGGTCTTCCCTCCTATTCTGCCATTCCCCTGCTCCCTCCTTCCCTCCCTCCCTCCTCCCTCGAACAGAAAAACAACCGCATGAACATAGACTTCCGGATGTCTTGGATCGACGCTGGCCCGCTGGCCCCCCCCGCTGACGCCGCCCTTGGCGGCTCTCGCGCCCCAGGGAGGTGGGGTCAGCGCCGATCCAAGAAAGCTTTCCGGCCCTGCGATTTTTATTTGCATATGCATGTGTTCCTCCTCTGCTCCCTTCCGTCCCTCCTCAGCCTCCTTTCCTCCTTCGCCCTCCTCCTCCCTTGGGCCAGGGCAACCTCTGGCCACACCCGACCTGGTGTGGGGGGAACGCCCAGGGCGCCCGCGGACACTTCGGACCACCATGTCCAGCACCGCACCTTATACATATATGTATATAGACGTGTATGTATACATGTCTGCTGTTTTGAAATTGTTCTCACCCATGCTGCCGACGACGGCGCATACCAACGTTGCCTCCCCCAAAATCCGCGACCACTTGCGAACCTTCCCTCTGCAAGTTCCATCGCCGCTGGGGTATCGGACACCCCTCGATGGGGCTCGGTTGGCTGCAGACATCTTTCGAGTCGTGAACCCCCACGGGTGTTCTAGAAGTTTGACCCGCAGGGGTACGGCTCACACGGCGCGGTGGCCGGGCGCCACGCACACGCCCAGGCCCGCACACTGTCTGCACGAACGAAATGGGCACGGAAAGAATGGATACAATGCCTAACAGCGGCGGATCCTGTTCATTTTGAGCAGGACTCGCTGTCCACGCCGCCGCGGCCTGTGTCCATTCAAGACAAAAGGCCGCCTGCCCAACAGCGGCCGCTGTTGGTTTGGGACAACATTTGTTGTTGGGCATTGTACCCATTCTTTCCGTGCCCACTTCGGGCGTCCAAACACTGGATATGTGGGCCACCCTACTTTTCTGCTTCTTCTGCTCGAATCTCCTTTGCTTGCTCTGATGGCTGTGGCGTTCCGTCTTCTCTTCCTGTCCAGCATCCGGAAGTCCAGTGATGGTGGGGAGGTCCGCCTAGAGGGCATTCTGCCAGTGGAGCCCGGCAACTTCTCGTCCTTCGTCGGGAAGTTTAGCTTCGACCAGAGCCTGGTGGCCGGCAACGACTCTGTCGAGCTGTCCGGCAAGGTCAAGGTGAGGGTGGCTTTGGAGGGAAGTTGGGCGGACTACACCGGGGAGATATACTTCATGGTCTTCGATGACGAGGTCCAGCACTGGAACGAAGACCTGATGGGAAGTGCGAGGTCTCCGCTTGCCTGCCTTCCTCTGCTCGCCGTCTGATGGCAGTCTGATGGCAGGGCCTGCTGGGGGCCAGCGAGCGCGTTCCACGACTCGGAAAGTGCCTACTCGCAAACGTCCGAACACACGCGCGTACATGTCTGCTTCGATGTACTGCATCGCAGATCCCCCCAATGGCAGATCCAGGCCACTTGCGAGTGGCGACTTTGCGAGTAGTGGAACGCGCTCGTTTAGGGGGGGAGAGCTGGAGGAGGAGGAGGAGGGATCGAAGAAGAACAAGCGGGCTCCAGCATCAATTTTCGGAGGTCCGCGCGGATCTCTGGCATCGGCGCTGGACCACCCTGGCTCGCTGCGAGTGCCCGGCAGGAGGTCAGCGCCGATACCAGAGAATGAAAGGGACCTCTGACAGTTCATACTTGCACAGCTTGCCGCTTGCCCCTTCTCCTTTCACCGAGCGCGTTCCACTGCTCGCAAAGTGCCTACTCGCAAACGTCCGACCTAACAGCTTTTGCTGATAGGTTTCTAGTGGTTTCAAAAGAGAGCAGCAGATGACTCCACAGGGGGGTCGGGGCGGGACCCGGGGCGGTGCCGCCGAAGCCCAAATCGCTTGGGACATCCTCGCAAAATCGCTCTTGGCGCTGCTAGAACTCCATTCCCGGCGTACATTTTGGATGCCCGGAGCCAATTGTAGGCCACTTCGTGGTCTTCGAGTTCCCAGAACTCCATTCCCGGCGTACATTTTTCGGCCGGATGGCGATGGGGGGATCAGGACATGGGGGGATGAGTATCCGGTACCGTCTTGTTGGGGTACAAGTTGTACCTTCTCTGCGGGTTGCAAGTACAAATTGTACCTTCTCCCCCCCCGTTAACATCCTCGCACATGTCGCGGACGTGGTTAAAAAGTACAATTTGTACCTTGTCTGCGTGGCGTCGGTACAAATTGTACCTTCTCCGTGGGGCGTAGGTACAATTTGTACCTCGGTTGCGCCTCTCTCCCCATCTGGACTTATCCCTCCATTTGCATCCCGCCAAATTTTGGATGCCCGGAGCCAACTGTAGGCCACTTCGTGGTCTTCGAGTTCCCAGAACTCCATTCCCGGGCCACATTTTGGATGCCCGGAGCCAACTGTAGGCCACTTCGTGGTCTTCGAGTTTCCAGATCTCCATTCCCGGGCCACATTTTCGGTGCCCGGAGCCAATTGTACGCCATTTCGTGGTCTTCGAGTTCTCAGAACTCCACTCCCGGGCCACATTTTGAATGTCCGGGGCCAACTGTAAGCCACTTCGCGGTCTTCGAGTTCCCAGATCTCCATTCCCGGGCCACATTTTGAATGCCCGGAGCCAACTGTAAGCCACTTCGTGCTCTTCCACTTCCCAGAACTCCATTCCCGGGCCACATTTTGAATGCTGAGGCCGGCTGAGGCTGAGCTGAGGCAGGCTGAGGCTGAGGCAGAGGCTGAGGCTGAGGCAGGCTGAGGCTGAGGCAGGCTGAGGCTGAGGCAGGCTGAGGCTGAGGCTGAGGCTGAGGCTGAGGCTGAGGCTGAGGCTGAGGCTGAGGCGAGGCTGAGGCTGAGGCTGAGGCTGAAGCAGACTGAGGCTGAGGCAGGCTGAGCTGAAGCAGGCTGAGGCTGAGGCTGAGGCAGGCTGAGGCTGAGGCTGAGGCTGAGGCTGAGGCTGCGGCAGGCTGAGGCTGAGGCTGAGGCCGAGGCTGAAGGCAGACTGAGGCTGAGGCTGAAGCAGGCTGAGGCTGAGGCTGAGGCAGGCTGAGGCTGAGGCTGAGGCTGAGGCAGGCTCAGGCTGAGGCAGGCTGAGGTTGAGGCCGAGGCTGAAGGCAGACTGATTCTGAGGCTAAATCAGGCTGAGGCTGAAGCTGAGGCAGGCTGAGGCTGAGGCAGGCTGAGGCTGTGGCTGAGGCAGGCTGAGGCTGAGGCTGTGACTGCGACTGCCGTTGCCACTGCGACTGTCATCGCGAATGCGACTACGACTGCGAGAACAGCAGAATTCTACAACTGGATTCTCATCTGAATCTTAAGGGGAATGCTTCCAGATATGCTCCTACACATCGCTGTTAGGTTGCTTTGCCGGGATAATTTTTCGTAGATCCCCCGCGGCGGATCCATGCCATTTGCGAGTAGTTATTTTGCGAGTAGTGTGTAATTTCACTTTTCTTTGGTCGTGACACCAGCCTTTCTGACTTTGACGAACACTCTCTCCAGCTACGGACACGCCTTTCCGTTTCCGACTCCCGTCCGATTCCAGCTCCCATCTCGCCAACTTGGATTCCACCGTTCCGATTGCTGACCTGGGCGCCCTCGCATGGACTTTCCGGTGCGCGCTCTCTTGCTCGCTCGTTCCCTCCCTCCTTTCCTTCCCTTTCTCCCTCCCTTTTCCCGCTGGTCGCGGGGATCGCGCCCCCCTGGCCCTCAGGGGGCGGCCCTGCGCGATCGTCCAGCGAAACCTCCACAGTGAACCCTGCCACCCCGCCCCCCCGCACGATTGGGCAGGCCTGGCGGCCCGTGCCGCCGACCCCTAAAAGGGGGACGGCAACGCCGCCGACGGCGGCGGCGGCGGCGCGGGCGCTCTGAAGCCTTTCTTGGGGCTCTCGTGGGAGGAGGAGGAGGAGGAGGAGGAGGAGGAGGAGGAGGAGAAGGAGGAGGAGGAGGAGGAGGAGGAAGAGGAGGAAAGAGGAGGAGGAGGAGGGGAGGAGGAGGAGGGGAGCCTCTTGGGCTCTGTTGGGGCTTGGGCTGGGGCCGCGGCTGGGGCCAGGGCCGGGGCGCCGGGGCCGGGGCCCAGGCTGCGGCCCCCCCTGGGCTGGGCCGGATCCGGGTCCGGGGCTGGGGCCGGAGCGGGGTCCGGGGCCGGGGCCGGAGTGGGGGCCCGGGCGCGGGGGGGGGATTGGGAAAGGGGGGGTTACGAAATCTGCTGCATGCAGCTGGTTTCGGCCTCACCGAGGGGCCCATTCCTCGATACATGGCCGCCTCCGGCGCCGGGAGGCGCCGGGAAAATCAGCTACGTGAGCTGATTCTCAAACCCCCTCTTTGCTATCCCCCCCTTTTGCCCGACCCGAGAGTGGGGGCCCGGGCGCGGGGGGGAAACGTATCTGCGTGGCGACCCCCCCCCCCCGGGGAACACCCCAGGACCCCCCCCCGCCCCCCAGGACCCCCCCCCTTCGGAAGGGAAGGGGTCAAAGGGAAGGGGCTTTCCTTCGGTTCGGCCCTGGTGTTGATCAATTTTGCTTTGGGCGGCGCGTGTGAGGGAGAGGGCCCAGGCAAGTGGGACAGAGGAGGACGCAGACGACGACTCCAACGGAAAAGCCCGACTCGGACGGAAAAAGCCCCTCACACACGCCGACAGGGTCAGGGTCGGCTGATTTCTAGGGGGGATGGGGGTCCACCTGGTTCGGGAGTTCCCGAGCGGAGTGAACACCCGCCCTCCCTTCGAAATCCTGGGGGGCGGGGGCAGGGCTCACACGTGGCCACCGACATGCGGCCTCCTAGCACAAACCAGGGATGCACTGGTAAAAGATCCTCGGCGGCAGAACGCGGCCCACCAGGATCCCAGGCCCCCGCCTCCCTCCCTCCGCCCCTCCCTCCCTTGGACCTGCCCCTTTGCCCCCCCTCCCTCGCCCACCATCTTCCATTTACACTCAACGCGCCTAGTACGGACGCGCGCCTTCATCTAGGGTGCTCGTGCGGCCTGTCCTTCGCTGTTTTCACTGCTGGCCCGCCGCCCACAAAATCCCAACTTCGGCCTCCAAGGGTCTTGCGTCCTTACCACCCATCCCAAATACACATGTTGATTGTGTTTCCCTGACAGGAGCGAACAAAGTAACGAGACCAAAAGTTTAAAGCGCAATGGGATAGTACGTGATGCTTCAATGACAGTATGATGAGACAGACTTGCGGCTTCAGCTGTTTTTTGGTCACCTGAGAACGGAATGCTGGTGGATGAGTTTGGGCCCAGGCTCATGGCTATGCGCGGAACACCCCTTGAGCGGCGTCTTAATCTGGAGCCAAGTTGCTACTGAGCGGGCAACTAGATCGATCATGCATGCCATCGCTCACCTGCTGCCGCCATCTACCACGCGCGCAATCACCATGCTCCAGATGTCGCCCGTGCTCGCCTGCGACGACTGCTGCTTCGCCCCCTCTCCCTCCCTTCTTCCCTTCCTCCCTCCCTCCCTCTCTCCCTCCCTCCTCCCTCCCCTCACCTCCCCGCCCGCCCTTCCTGCCCCCCTCCCCTCCTGCCACCTGCCCCACCTCTCACAGCAGCGGTCCCTCGCCGCCCCCCCCCCGCCTCCCCCTACTCCTTCGGTAGCAAATCATTGGAGCTTGGCATACCCTCTGAATTCCGTCATTAGCGTCGATCAGCGCCTGGGAGTCGATGGGATAGCGCCGACTTAGCGTCGGTTAGCCTCGGTTCAGCGATCAGCGTCGATTCAGTGTCGACTGGCGTCGACTCGCAAAAGCCGACAAGATGGTATGGGAGGCTCCCACGAGTTGCCACCGAATACTCCCCGGGCCGGCCGCGCCCACGCGCCCGAGCCCGCCGGCCCGCCCGTCCGGGATGTCGTGCTGGCGGCCGGGCGGCGGCCGCGCGCAGCACAGCGCGGACAGGCTGTACGACCTCTTGGAGGCCTCGTCCTCCTCCTCCTCCTCCTCCTCCTCCTCCTCCTCCTCCTCCTCCTACTCCTCGTCCTCGGTCTCGGCTTCGTCGTCGTCGCCGTCGTCGTCGTGGTCGTCGTCGTCGTCGGCGGCCCAGACCTCCAGCGTACCCAGTCCCCCTCGCGTCATGGAAGGATCGCGTCCGTATATACATAAGTATACATATACACCTCTCTATAAGTTATTATATTTAGATATGTATGATGTCTGTACGGTTGTATACAAATATGGATACGTATACAACTCGATGTATATGTGTATATACATACATATATATAATTATCCCGGCAAAGCAACCTAACAGCGATGTGTAGAAGCATATCTGGAAGCATTCCCGTTAAGATTTAGGTGAGAATCCAATTGTAGAATTCTGCTGTTCTCGCAGTCGCAGCCTCAGCCTGCCTCGGCTTGCCTCGGCCTCAGCCTCAGCCTGCCTCGGCCTCAGCCTCAGCCTCAGCCTGCCTCAGCCTCAGACTCAGCCTGCCTCAGCCTCAGCCTGCATCAGCCTCAGCCTCAGCCTGCCTCAGCCGCAGCTTGCCTCAGCCTCAGCCACAGCCTCAGCCTCAGCCTCAGCCTGCCTCAGCTTCAGCCTCAGCCTCAGCCTGCCTGGGCTTGCCTCGGCCTCAGCCTCAGCCTGACTCGGCCTCAGCCTCAGCCTCAGCCTGCCTCAGCCTCAGCCTCAGCCTGCCTCAGCCTCAGCCTGCATCAGCCTCAGCCTCAGCCTGCCTCAGCCTCAGCTTGCCTCAGCCTCAGCCACAGCCTCAGCCTCAGCCTCAGCCTGCCTCAGCTTCAGCCTCAGCGTCAGCCTGCCTCGGCATGCCTCAGCCTCAGCCTCAGCCTGCCTCGGCCTCAGCCTCAGCCTCAGCCTGCCTCAGCCTCAGCGTCAGCCTCTCAGCCTCAGCCTGGGGCTCAGCAGCAGCCTCAGCTCTGACTACAGCCTCAGCCTCAGCCTGCCTAAGCCTCAGCCTCAGCCTCAGCCTGCCTCAGCCTCAGCCTGCCTCAGCCTCAGCCTCAGCCTCAGCCTGCCTCAGCCTCAGCACAGCCTGCTTCAGCCTCAGCCTCAGTCTGCCCGCCTCAGCCTCAGCCTCAGCCTCAGCCTGCCTCAGCCTCAGCCTGCATCAGCCTCAGCCTCAGCCTGCCTCAGCCGCAGCTTGCCTCAGCCTCAGCCTGCCTCAGCCTCAGCCTCAGCCTCAGCCTGCTTCAGCCTCAGCCTCAGCCTGCCTCGGCCTCCGGCCTCAGCCTCAGCCTGCCACCTCAGCCTCAGCCTCAGCCTCAGCCTCAGCGTCAGCCTCTCAGCCTCAGCCTGCATCAGCCTCAGCCTCAGCCTCAGCCTGCCTCAGGCTCAGTCTCAGCCTGCCTCAGCCTCAGCCTGCCTCAGCCTCAGCCTCACAGTTGGCTCCGGGCAATCAAAATGTAGCCTGGGAGTTGTGTTCTGGGAACACGAAGAACACGAAGTGGCCTACAGTTGGCTCCGGGCATTCAAAATGTGGCCCGGGAATGGTGTTCTGGGAACACGAAGAACACGAAGTGGCCTACAGTTGGCTCCGGGCGTTCAAAATGTGGCTCGGGAATGGTGTTCTGGGAACACGAAGAACACGAAGTGGCCTACAGTTGGCTCCGGGCATTCAAAATGTGGCCCGGGAATTGTGATCTGGGAACACGAAGAACACGAAGTGGCCTACATCTGGCTCTGGGCATTCAAAATGTGGGCCAGGAACGGAGTTCTGGGAACTCGAAGACCACGAAGTGGGTTACTGTTTGCTTAAAACGAGTTCCCCGGCATCCTCCCCCGGATCGCGCCCAGACCCCCCTGGGGCGTCATGATGTTCTTTTTTAACCCTACTAGAAACCTATCAGTCTTCGCTGTTAGGTAAAAATCGTATGCGTGCGTATGTATATATATATATATATATACACATCTGTAATTCGGCCTGTGAGGGCCCTCGCTGGGCCCCAGGATCGTCAAAAACCGCTCTGCACGCAAAACCGTTCCCGGAGCGAAGGGCTCATAAGGCCTCCGGGGCCCACGGCGGCGGGGGTCGGGGACGGCTGGCGGGCGCTCTCCTGGCGCCCAGCTCTCCCTCTCCTCGGGCAGCGCGACGGCCCCGCGGCCGCCCGAGGCCGCGGTCGGAAGCCCTCGGCGTGTGCTCTCTGCTCGGCCGCGGGGAGGTCTGGTGGCCCAGGCTCCTCTGCCCCCCTCTCCTTCCTCCCCCTCCCCTCCTTCTCCCTCCTCCTCCTCCTCCTCCTCCTCCTCCTCCTCCTCCCTCCTCGCCTCCCCCTCCTCCTCCTCCTCCTCCTCCTCCTCCTCCTCCTCCTCCTCCTCCTCAGGCACAGGGTCTGGGGACGCGGCCTTGAGCCACCGGGTCCAGGGTCAGTCTGGGGTCCAGGGCCCAGGGGCCCAGCACCCAGGACCGATCCAGGATTCAGGGTCAAGGTCTCGTGGAGCCGGGAGCCGCGCCCTCGGCTTCGTCGTCGTCGTCGCCGCCGCCACCGCCGCCGCCGCCGTCGTCGTCGGCGTCGTCGTCGTCGTCGTCGTCGTGGTCGTCGTCGTCGATGGGGCGAGGTTTGTGGGTGGGTCAGGCCGCCTGTCCAGGGCCTGGGGCCTGGTACGGCTGAG